TATTTTGATTTTTTAAATTAAGTTATGATTTTTTGAAATTGAACCAGAAAACTAGATTTTTACCAAATGAAGAGTAAAAATCCGAAAAATAGTGTCCTCAACGTCCTAAATGTGATTTTTTAGCCCAAGACCATCCAATGTGGTCTAAAATAGCTTCGGTTGAACTCTAAGTTATTCTAGAAGTAAGGTGTAACACAATGGGCTCTTAGTGCCGCAATACAGTAATTGAGCTCACTCTTAATCACTCCCCCTTACTTCCCGTAAAGTTACAATTCCCTCAAGAATCCCAGATTCTTGAGTCACTCATTAAAAGTAACAAATGATTTTCAGATTCTCTCTTAAGAGTGTATAAGATTAACACTAAAGCTCAATATAGAAAACAGAGTATTGAATGCAAAGATTAATTTTCATAGTTCGTAGCTCAGTTCATTCACTACTTCATTCAATACTCTTCGCGTCATTTATGGTTCGAGTCTTCTAACTTCCTGTTAGACACAAAAGCTTGTAACCATTGGGATTTTGCTTGCATGTGTTGGTAGTTATAACAGTTGTTTGTAATAAATGCTTCTAACACAGGTAGGTTGAGCCTTTAATGTATCTGTTGAGCTTCGTAACTTGTGGAAATGTCTCAATACAAGGATAAGTTTTTCTTCTCAAGTGAATAAGAATGAATAATAGAAGAAATGATGATCCTTGAATTTAATCCAGGAAATGAAAATCATAAATCAAGGATAAGTTAATCAGAGAAACAATTTTATCAAATTTTATCGAAGATCTGACCAAGCCTTTAATCGATAAAGTTATTAATTAATAGAAAAGGAAGCAATATAAATAAAAGACTTACTTATCAAAGTTATTGTGGATCACACACTTTATAGAACAAGTTATTGATAAATGGTGAAATATAGTCCAAGTGATTTTATCAAGAAAATTCATCTCAAAAGCTTGTAAATTGAAACAGGTGCCTTCTCTACCTTTTATAAGAAATTAAGATGATTAATGAAGGCTGAGAAAAGCTTAAAAATAATTATATCATATTTTGAGAAATATCATGAAGAACAGTTTAAAAGAAATGTGTTTGTACTTCATGGAACAGATGATCAATAATTCACTTGATCAAACAGTTTATCGATCATTGAAGTAAGTATAGAAAATTATTTTAACTAAATTTATCTAAAACGTTATTGATAAGGACTTGATCGAACATATTATCTGAAAAGCTATCTAAAAGACTTAGACAGAGTAAGCAAAGAAAACTTGACGTTAATCAATTAATTGATCGATAAGTGCATTTATCGATTAGATGATCGATATTTGTGATTATTGATAAAGTGATCAATAATTGACTGAATAAAACTTGAAATTGAGAAAGATTGAGAGAATCTTAGTCGAACAGGTCATCAAACATTGTAGCAAAATAGACTTAGACAGTTTTAGAACAACTTATTGATAAGTATGATTATCGATAAAGTGATCGATAACTCATAAAGTATTCTAAATAGGATTTAGATGATTGAGACTAGCCATTTATCTGAAATGTGATTGATAACCTCATTTATCAATAAGGCCATCAATAAATACTTGTCAAAAGAGAGAGACTTACCTTTTTAACCTGGTAGCTTATTGAACAACTGATTTATCAATCAAGTGATTGATAATTTACCAATAATAACCAAATTCAAGCAAGACGACCAGTGATTGATAAGGCGTCCCATCCCGAGAAATTTCATTTGGACATAGGAAATTAAAAATTGAGATGAGGACCAATGTAGAAACTAGACGAGGAGACGAAACAACTTTTGAGGTGAAACCCCGACAAGGTCCGAGTTGGCATTTTCGTAATTATCAGTCTAGGAAGGGCAAAACGGGAAAAATTGAGAAAAATTCTAAAAAATTCCTGAAAAATAGAAAAAGTGTAAGGTAGAGCTTTTGGAAACTTGGTTGAGACCCAAAAGGTAGGATTATTGTGAAAATAGATTATTATAGAATTTTCCATAAACAGAGGCTTTTCGGGAAATTATTGGAAAAATAGAGGAAGATAATTATTTTAATTAGTTAAAAGCCTCAATAAATTTAAAAAAATGGATGAATCATTTAAATATTTATTTGAATTTACAAAATTGATTTTAGGCCTTGGAAGTTTAGAATTAATTTTAGAAAATTTAATTTTAGGGAATTTATTTTCCCGTAATAACACTAATAAAGGCCTAATCAGAGAAAATTTCAAATAAATACTTAGAGGTGGTAAACAAATTCTGAAAATTTTCAAATCATATTCTTATATTAAAAGGTAAATTATCATGGAGAGAAATGAATTTTTGGAGGTCTAGAAAAATTATGGAATGTTACTAGTGAATAGTAACTGATAAAGTTTCAAAGTGGTTTGAGATTTTGCTTTGGGGTGTGGGCCATCTTTTGGGGCCAGCCCAAACCATTTGTGGGGCCCACTTTGAGCCCAATAAGGGCCCAATTTTGTTGCTTGCTGCCCACTCCACAGAATTAATTAAAATAAATACAAAATTAAGGGATAAATGCTTGGAAAGTCTAGAATTGCCACTTGGATTAATCTGATTTATTTTGCTGTAAATGGCTGCCACATAACCCCCCATTACGTGTCCCAAATTTGGCCAATTAAGGAGAGAAGGGAGCAGATTAAATTTTCTATAAATGCCCCTCTTGAAAATACAAAGAAATGTTGGAAAAATAGGAAAAATAGGGAAGATGTTGCCACTGTAGCTCCAGACCTTAAAGACCGAAAATTGAAGGATTTTGGACAAGGAATCATTCAACTTATATCAAGGAAACATCAAGGTATGTTTAAGTCTCCTTATCCCTAAGTTTTACACTAATTTAGTGAGGGTTTTGAATTGAAAAATCAAGTGTATATGCTGCCAAATTTTCATTGGACCATGTAATGCTTAGGGAAGGGTAGAAGCCTTAAATACCAAGTGGAATAAGCATAATTAAGTGGTGTATGGGTTGATTTTTGGAAGAAAATCCATCTAGGGTCCTATATGTATATTTCAACAAGCCACTATTCATGCTTCAAGAAATTGCTTTAGCTACATTTGATGATTCTAATGGGTTTAAAATGTGTTTTTGTATAGGGATATACTATTGGGAAGTATTTAAAATCATTGAAATAAAAAATGAAATTTTTGGAAGCTAAAACCCCCTATTCGGCCAACTCAACTTGAAAGGGAAGGAGTTTGATTTTTAAAAATCTGATTTCATATTTGGATTCCCCATGAAAAATTGTGTGGGAATGAATTATGAAGTTATTGATTCTTGACAAACTCAATTATTTTTATATATTTTGATATCTTTTATATGAGTTTTGTCAGTTTAATTGGTTCCTTTTTGCCTTAATTGATTTAATTTATTTTATTTTGAATTATTATTTTATAGGGGCAAAATTGTCATATTGTAGTTTAATTGTGACTAATTGATTTTTGAGGATAATTAATGCTACCTTATCCTTGAATTTTTCTTGTAGGTTCTTGGAAGATTCAAAAATAAAAAAGAAAAAAAGAAAAGAAAAAGAAAAAAAATTAAATTAAAAGAAAATAATAATAATAATAATAATAATAATAATAATAATAATAAGTTGGGGGCAAAACGTTGCGTTTTGCCCCAACCTAATAATCATCATCAGCTGGGAGGCAGAAGACGCAAGGAGCGCTGAAATAAAACACACACACGCGAGGCGCAACAGGGGGAACCGGGGAGCGAAACGGAGAAGACGCTGGACGGCGGCTGAGAGCAAAGGAGACGCGCCGAATACGAGTTCGTGACGGCGAGAAGTAGGAGCTGGGCGATGAACCAGGAAGAAGACAGCGCCTTCACCTTCTTCTTCTCCGAAGCACGAACAGAGCTGGACGGAACCCACGAGCAGGAGGCGGCACACACAGACGACGCAAGCGGCACAGACGAAACGGAGCAACAGGGAGGGAGAAGACGCTGGGCGGCGAGCAACGGACCTGGAGAAAAAAAAAAAAAGAGCAACACAGAGCTCGCCGCTGCCGAGGGAACCAGAACGAGTGAGACAGCAAAATCAGTGTCACCGTCTTCTTCCATGGCAAACCGTAACAGAGCGCTGGTGGCAACGAATTTGATGGCAAACCGTGGCTAATTCCTAATTCTCTAATTCAACAATAATGACAGAAGCTTGGATCATCAGGGGAGTTTTAGTTGTTTTAATTTCTTACTCAATAATTGTTTAACAATTTCTAGGTCTTAGGATAGTTTTTCTGATTGTTGGGATAATTGTATTGCTTAATCTGATTATATTTGAGGATTATTGTGACTGGATTATTGGTTAGCATTTGACATTGGGCTGTTTATAGCTTTGATTTCAATTATGATGTTGTGGTTATGACATTTGTATTGATTTTGGAGTTAATATATTGTGATTTTCTAAGGTGGCTTAGAATCTTGGATCATATTGTCTCTTGCTAGCTTTAACTCTATTGTTGTGAATTTAAGAATTTAATTGAGCATTGGTTTTTAGTATCCTTAATTTCATTTTACTATTCTGGTTGCAGTTAGTAATTTGAATTTTTGGAAAATATTTTGAGGCAATTCGAGGTGGCTCGGTTGTTGGATTAAAAGCTTAATTATAATTCTTAATTCATTGTTTTAACTCCACATCTTTTAGAGTGATGATTGCCTAAGTTGTTGAATTGGAGGATTGATTATTATTATTGTTATTTGTGTGTTTCATTTTCATTTATTTAATCTTCATTCATTTTAATCACTTTTATATAAAAACAAAAAAAAGTATTTTAATTTCAATTTGATTCGTAGGATTTAATTAACAGTTTTTTTAAAAATCAAAAATCCCTTTTATATAGTTTAGGTTACTTGTGTTTATTTACTAGGATTTAATTTCGTTTTCGACTCCTCAAAGTGAATACGACCCGGGTTGTGCACTATATTGCATTAATTCGATTAATTTTTGGAGTAACCCCAAAGTGACAAATTAAGGGAAATTAACTTCAATTCTAAAAGAGGAATTATTTTGTTAAAAATCAAAGAGAAAGGAGGAAAATGTTAAGTTAAAGATAAAAGGTTATGTTTAAATGGTTTGGCTATTAATGTGGCCTATGTCTATGCTTGATTTAATAGGCTTTATGAGGAGGAGTCAAGGACGATCATTGTCCCTTGAAGAGAGAAAATTAATCAAGTGATAAAAGGTAACTTTGAATTATAATTTGATTGTTTATCTTGCTTGTTTAATGTGATTTGTTGTTGCTTGGATTGAAGAACTTGTGATTTTGGTTGGTTGGTTGGTTAACCTTGGTTTGTACTTTGGCCAAATGCATTGAATTGTGTTAATGTGTAAGTGTTAATGTTCCTCTCCTAGCATGAAACTAAGCATGATTTTATGTGGCTTGAGGATGTCTTGAAGTTTGTAACATGTCACATTGTAACTTATTTGATTTGCATGATAATTATAGTTCAATTACTACTAAGATTTCTATGAAATCTCATTCCTCCTATGTTAAATTATGTCTCAAATAGGGAATGGCTATTCTATGGATCAAGGCAGGGAATTGGTGTTGGGATAGAAGAGCATTATGGAACTAAAATCACTGTTATGTTATGTAATGTGTTAATAATAAATTTCATGCTAAGTTGTAATGAATTATGAATAATGATATGATGTAAATTGTGTTGTTATGACATGTCCTAATGTTGAAATATTGAATGGTGCAATGTCATAAGGATAAGAGAAAGGAAAAAGGGAAATAAAATTTAAGAAAGAGGTAATTATGGGATAAAATTACCTAAATCAGGGGCAAAATGGTGCCACATGAAATAATATGCAAATGATGGAATTTGGACTTGAGATTTTACAAGCAAATAGGTCTCATTTTTATCTTTAAATCAAGTGGTAAATCATCAAACTTTAGAGTTTTGTCCTAAGAGTTATGCCTCTCTAAAGTTGGGCTAAAATACTAGAAATTTGAAAATTTATCAACTTTGGATGGAATTGAGTCTAATAAATATTTTTTCTCTATAGAACTCTTAGCAAGCTTCACGTGAAAATTGGAACCACCTCGTTTTGATTTTTCCAGAATTAGTTATGAATTTTCAAAGTTAGCCTAAATTCGGATGAACAGTGTGCGACAGAATAAAAAGGAAAATTTTGAAACTGAAATTTTTCACCCAAAAACGTTTGGAAATGCGTTATAATGGTTCTAATTGATGTATAATGGAGTAATAAAGGAGGTGTTACATAAGGTGATCAGAGAACATATTTATCTAACAGGTTATCTGGAACAGTAATAATGTAATATGTGATCGATAAAACTTAACAGTACTTAAGCTCAAAACATTCGGTCATTTATCTAACACGTGTTCGATCAACCCAATGATCCAACACATGATCAAATAACAATTTAACAGTTATACAGGGAAACTTAACTATTTATTTTGTTATCATCAAAACCTTAAATCTAACAATATTGGCATGATTATGAACATGCAAGAAATGAATGTGAATTACTAATGCAAGTAAGGGGGATAAGTTATCCTTAAATGAGCCATAAATTTGTGATAAAATGGAAGTGAGGCAAACGATGGAATCTACCTATGAAATTTGCTATCTTTAAAATTACACATCCTGAGCTTTAAAATAAGTGATAGATTGTCACATTCCTTTATTATCTCATTATATGACAATTGGACCCTTTTAGGATCATTATACAAACCTTAAGTATGAGAAATTTCAATTTTTGAAACTTTGATTCCGGGTTACTATTCACTATTCACAGAATTTTTTGTCAATTTTGAAAATTCATAACTAATTGTAGAAAAATTAAGATGGGGTGATTCCAATTTCTATTTGAAGCTTGCCATGCATTGTATGAGGAAAAAAAATACTCATTAGCATCATATCATTACGAAACAGAGTCAGAAAATTCGCCAAGTTGCATTGTTCACATGGTCATTTTCTGATTTTCTAGTATTTTAGCCCAACTTTGGAAGGACATATCTCTTAACACAAAACTCTAAATTTGATGATCTACCACTTGATTCAAAGTTAAAAATGAGATCTATAAGCTTGCCAAATTTCAAGTCCAAATTCGTCCATTTGCTCATTATTTTATGTGCCACAAAACTGCCTCTTTTTAGAGTATTTTTATCCCCTAAACTAATTTTTTTAAATTTTCTTTTCTCTCTTCCATATACCATCCATTCAAGCACACCAAAACATGATTATAAACAACCATATGACATTATAAATTACATAATTCCAAAGGATATCATATCCATAACTCTTTACAAATATCAAAGTTCATCAAAATACAACATAAGTCTTACATAATGTCATAAAAATCACAAGGCCTCATTAGCTCAATACCTGTAAGGAATTGAAAGACACGTAGCGGAAAATAACTTTAAAATTTTCCAATCCCTTGCCCGGATCTACCGATTGTGTTTAAGTCAAGTAGTAAGAGGTGTTACCTACGGTATTCGAATCGTTGGTGGCTCAGGGATTCCGACGTTCGGGATGCCTATGCTCTCCTTTTGTTCGTGAGAAGTCGACAACTCAGATCGGCTTCCTCTACCGGTATCCACACGAACAGCGTTTCAATCATGAACGACGTGCTAGCGCCTCTTGTCCTTCTAGGGCTTTTCCGAGAATCCATCCTCGCCGTTTCTATTTTGGCCGTTTCTTATTTGCAAACCTTTTGCTCTCTCACACACCTAAAACCCTAGCTCCTAAATATCAAATATATAGGATGCTATCGGTATTATGAAGGATATTGGATTTCAGAATTAATCCTAAATTAATTCCGAAATTAATACAATATCATATATTGCGTAATCTGATAAGAAATCAATTAAATAAATACGGTTTATATTAAATCCGTCCCACAGATTTAATTCACCTATTCATTTAATTCAAAATAAAGATATGACGGAATTATATGTGATTTATTCTAATAAATCAAATTTGAGATATTATATTATACCATATCAAATTTAAAAGTGATAGAGATTTAATTTATCCTTATAAATCAAATCTTATAAATATCTCTTATATCATATAATATATATACGCGAATTTATATATATACACACACGTCCACCCTAGATTATTCATTGAATCTGGACATATCTTAATTCAATGAATCTGGACATGATAGCTCGTGTTGGGCTATTTTGTGTGCGACCCTGTAGGCCCATATGAAGTTGGTAGTGGGCCATTTACTATAATGACTCACAAGTCGTAAGCGGTCTCTAGCAAGACATCACGACTTCCCAAATCATATGAGGATCGATGAACGATGTAACCTTTCATACAACCATATCACGTCCCTTTTGTCACACGACATTTTGGTTATAGATGAGGCATGGAGAATGTCATCCTCCTATTCCTGACCGTTACTTTCTCGATCCCTGAGTAGTCTGAGTATAGAAATGGAACTACCTTTCTATTATAGTATGATCATACATTTCTCAGACTTACTCATCGAGGGGCCCAGTAATATCTCTCTACGAATGTGAGGGACAAATTCCATCTTGACCATTCACATTCCTCCATATGAAAAACCACTAAGCCTGAATATAGTCTTTATGATCACTCGGTCAAAAGTAACTTTTGACTAGGTCAAAGCTGAGCGTTTCTCATGTAGGAATCCATGATGATCTCAGGTCAAAGGGCATAGTGACTTTTGACTAGATCAAAGCTGAGCGTTTCTCATATAGGAATCCATGATGATCTCAGGTCAAAGGGCATAGTGACGTGGTTTGTATATGAGAGAAGCTTATGACTCGGTCCAACACCTTGTACTCTTATATGTGCCTATGACTTTGATTTATATCTCTATACATCTTCAAAGTCATACTAGTCTTATTTCATCTCTGCTCCCACATATATGACCGACCAGGGACATTTAGGATAAAATCATGAGTTATCCAAGGATAGTCATCACAGTAAACATGCAAATAATATGATAACATAATTAAGAAATTCATAAATCAACAATGTTCATAACACAATGATTGGCCCCTAGGGCACGATTTCCAACAATACCAACTCCTTGCTCTTATTCATACTTGATCCACTCCCTCTTAATACATAATTTAACATAGGAAGGAATAAGATTTTATAGAAATCTTAGTAGTAATGAACTATAATTATCATGTTAATCAAGCAATGCATAATGTGATATGTTATAGAACTTCAAGACATCCTCAAGTCACATAAAATCATGTCATGCATTATGCCAAGGAAAGAAACAAGTACATACTCACATTGGCATAACATTATGCATTTGGCCAAAGCAATTCAAGTGTCATAAAATCAACAATTGCCACAACATGAATCCAGCAATTGGAGTAATCAACATAACACAATAAGCAAGCAAGACAAACAATCAAATTATAAGTTCAATGCTACCTTGTATACTTAATGTAATTCAGCCTCCTTAAGGAATTATTGTTTTCCTTGGTTCTTCTTCTCAAAACCTATCAATTCAAGCATAATTACAAGCTACATTAACAATCATTCCAATTAAACACCAACACTTAAGCTTAAGCCTAATTAAATTCTCCTTTTCTTTGATTTTTAACATAATTATTCCTCCTTCAATTCTAATAATCTTTTGACACATTCCTACACAATTTTTCATGTAGAATCCAAATATTAATTCATATTTATGAAAATCAAACTCCTTTCTTCCATTATATTTTGGGCGAATAGGGGCATATATATTCCAAAGCTACAATTTCCTCTACCTTAACTAGCTCTTGATCTATTTAATTCCCTTAATCTTAGGGTTAAAATTTTCAGGATGTTACAAAAAGCATCACTTAATTCTCTACAAGAACACTTCGTCCATACTTGGGACGACTTGGTGTCAAAATTCAAAGCCAACATTCCTAGAGGTCAGAGAGCCACCTTAAGGGGAGAGTTGCTCTCTTTTGAAGAACAACTTGATGAACTATTCTATGAAGCGTGGGAAAGGTTCAAGGACAAAAGGAGAAATTGCCCAAATCATAAACAAAAGCAGAATGTCATAATGGAAGCTTTTAGAATGGGTTAAATGATCAAACTGTAAATATGCTCAACATTGCTTCTAATGGAGGAATAGGGAAAATGAAGGTCAATGAACTCTACCAACTATATGAAGATGTAGCCTTTAATACTATGTAACCATATAACAAGCGGAGGCAAGGCTCTAAGAGGTATCTTGAAACAGATTCTTCTTCTTCTAAAGATATCTCATCACAATTGGAAGCTATTTTGAAGAGGTTTGATAATCTGGAGATGCAAATTAAGCGAGGAAACTCAATCTAGGTAAATGCTTATCATGCTTATCAGTTTGCATGTGATCATTGTAGTGAAGGACACTATTCTAAAGAGTGTCCTTATAGTCTTGAAACTATCAATTATATGAACATAGGTTAGAGAAGGCCTCAAGGAAATCTGTATCCTGTAAAACATCCTTCTGTTTAATTACCCCTTTTAGTACACGTCTAGAAGTGTTATGGTTCAACCGGATCATGAAATGAGTCCATAGATTGAAAAATTGAAATTTGATTCTTGGGTTACTATTCACTAGTAAATTTCAAATTTTTGGTCTAAATTTAAAAATTCATAACTAATTATAAAAAATCATATTAAAGTGATTTAAGCCTTTATTTAAAGCTCTTTCAATTCTCTATAGGGAAAAAATGCTTATTGGTT